GCACTCCACTAAGCTCGTTCTCCCACCCACTCAAACAGCTCCCCAAACCATCACACTGAAACCACCATGCCTCACAGATGGCTGCAATCTGTTGAGCCAAAACTCTTGGTGAGGTATTCTCCAGACCTATATCCTCACACTGTCTGAAAATTGAGCGAATCTTGATTCGTCTGAGAACAATACGGTCTTCAAAAGTCCAGAGGCTTGGTCATCATATCACTTGCCCACTTCTTTCGTCTCACTATGTTGGCAAGTCTTAATAAGGACTTCTGTGTAGCTGCTCTGCAACGATAACCCAATCTGTGGAGTATCCGTTGAACAGATTTCGGGCTCATCTCACCAACTTTGGCCACTTCTGCAGTCGTTAATCTGGGATCCATTTCGATGCTCCTCTTGACAGCCCTTTTTGTCCTCTCCGATGGACCAGGACGACCTGGACGCTGAGCAGTTGTTTCCTTGCCGTGTTTCCGTAACTGCACAATGATTCTGTTGACTGTCGAAAGCGGGATTCCCAAATTCTGCAAAATTTGCCGCTGACTTATTCCACAATCTGCTTGACCAACTATCTTTCCTCTAACAAAATCTGACAATTTGAGAGAATCTTGAGTTCTAGGCATGTTGTAGCACAAGATAATTAGTGTGTGTGGACCATTTCCATTTATATAGTGCTCTGTGAACACAAATTAGATAGCATAAATCAGTTCAATGACGAAAAATTAGGTGTCTATTTACTTGTGACCACTCAGTGTATATATATGTTCAAGAATTACTAACCAGGTTTTGGTAACTTTTGGTCAGATCTTCCATAACTTCATCATCCACAACATCCAGACTCCTGTAATGTTTATGCTTTAAATTAAAAAAGATATGTTGTATTTTATCTAATGCTGTAAGTTCTTGAAATATTACTGTAATGTGGTAAATTTATCTGCACAACAAAACTCACTGGTAAATAAAATTTCTTGAACTTCAAGCAAGTCTTCATTAACTTTGAACAAATCAAAGCCTTCACATACATTGAAAAAAGTTTTAAGTTCACAATTATAGAGATAACCTGATCGGAGGTTAGTGATTAAAAATAAAAAGTACCTGATAAATTAATGCAGCTGGTCATATAAAGAAACTGCAAGAATTACTTAATGTTAAGAATCAATAAAACTTATAATGAATAGAATGCACTTAATCATTAGTTGAGTATCCTCTCTATTGGATATTTTTGGTTTGACCCATTAAGTTTTCAAGTTTGTCCTAAATCCATATATTTAACTAACAATGCTAAATAATCATTTTCAGTGTAAAAAAATAAAAATACATTTTTACCAACAATTTTAATAATATTATTACCAAGAATGTTAATGAAATTGTTACCTAAGTTTTGTACAACATATGTAACTAGTTAACTATTTAGGATTAAAGCATATTTAAAATCTTGTGATTTCTACTTTTTTTAATGTAAATTTATCTGTATCTTGATTGGTAGATGTTTAAGTTATAACATAAATACAAGTTGAAAGCTAACAATGTTTGATGTTATACTCCCCTTTGCCAGGACCTATCAAGTTTTCTGCAAATTAATGGTACCTTTTGATGCACTACTCAAACTGAAATGCCAAAAAAAAAAACAAAAAAAAAAACAGCTGAAATGATTTACCATATTCCAAAATAATAATAAAAAAACAAAAACAAGAAGCAGTACTCCATTTGGAATATATATATAAGTACCAAATGGTGCATACTGGGTAAATTTTGCCCCTAGTGGGAACCATAAAACAGCCCTTGTAGAAAAAACATGTGTTAGAATTTATTCTATGCATATACTGTTTGAAAATGTTCTCCTGTAAGTCGAAAACAGTAATTACAGCAAATCTGTCAGTTTTTTTTAGAAAACTTGAATATCAGAACTGCTAATTTTGTGGTAATGAAACACATGGCAGCAACAGAAAGCTTGAAAAATTTAGTGAGATTCATTGAAGAATAGCTAGTTTTAAACATGTAAACTAGAATCCAAAGAAGTAATTAATCTCTATTAAAATCTGCTGGTGAATTTTGGCAGAAAAAGATTAATGGTAGCCTGTTCCATATACTTTATTATTTTTTGTTGTTACTAACATAAATATAACTTTCTATAAGTTAGTGAACCTAATGGCCATACTACCTAACAGTGAGTATTACATTTAATATGTCCTTATTATTGCTGCTCTATTAGTAGATAATTTATTTTCATTAACACTTCATGTAATTAACATAGACAAATGATTAGAATGCAATGATAATCATTTTATTGATAGTTTTGGACATAATCACAAAATCTATATTCACACAGAAGTTCTATAAAAATTTATAAGAAAACTGAAACAGTTGAGACTAAGTCACAAGAAGTTTTTTAAATTTTTTATTTAAAAATGTAACATACGTTTTAAAAATACTGCAAGCCTTTTTTGCTCTTATTCTTAAAAAGTTTGGTTAACTTAGAAAAAATTTTAAGCTCACTACATTCATTTCTATTACACTTCTACTTTTAAATAGATGATTGAGAAATGAATGATGTTTTAAATTATAGAAACCTGCATGCACATATTAACTACTGTTAAATATTGCAACTACTATTTGTGTAATTTAGGTAATATCAAATAAAGAACTGATACAAAAAATACAAAAATGTATTTTTTTTAACATTAGTCTATAATGTTTAAAAAATGTATCACATTTCAAAAAAGAAGATGAAATAGTTTGAGTTAATGCCATTTAATGAGACATTGAAATTTGGTGTGATTAAGATAACAGCAGTAATCAGTGGGTTTTATAATAAACCAAGGTAACACATCTATTGCACATTTAATTATATTGTTGGTGAATTGCAGGAAATCATAATAATGAAAATGTATGTCAATGAGTACTAGCAAAACATAACCTCAAAGTAGTATTATAGTGGACTTATCTTACTGTAATCATTAGTAATAAATATTAGCATAACGTAACCTCAAAGTAATATCACAGTGGGTTTATCTTACTATAATCATTAGTAATAAATACTAGCATAACATAATCTCAAAGTACTGTCACAGTAATCATTAGTAATGAATACTGGCACTCTGTAATGTCAAAGTACTAACACAGTGGGTTTATCTTGCTGTAATGTCAAAGTAGCATCACAGTGGGTTTATTTTACTGTAATCATTAGTACTTTTTTCTACTATAACATAACCTCAAAGTAGATACCAGTGGGTTTATCTTACTTTAATAATTAATAATGTATACTAGCATACTGTAATGTCAAAGTAGTAACATAGTGGGTTTATCTTGCTGTAATCTTTATTAATGAATACTAGCATACTGTAATGTCAAAGTAGTATCACAGTGGGTTTATTTTACTGTAATCATTAGTAATGTACACTAGCATACTGTGATGTCAAAGTAGTAACACAGTGGGTTTACCTTACTGTAATCATTAAGATCTGATGGGGAAACTCGTTTAGATAATACAAAAACAAAGCGTAAGGAACACGTTCTCAAATATGTTAAAAATGAAGATTCTTAGTAGCATTCACAACACTTTCAGAGGTTTACGATCCATTCTTACCCATTTTCTAACACTGCAGCCAAGTTGATACAGATATACTGTTGACACACAGCTCTAAGCTGGTCGGCATTGTAGGTGTAAGACAGTTGTAAGAGTTCTGCAACATTACGGAGAGTAACTGTGGGAACAGATGTTTTCTATTTTACTTAAACAAAAAATAATTTCACCTTCCAAAACAATTAAATGGTGTTATAACATTTAATATAGTGTCTGGGAGGAAATGTGGTATCTTGTACAAATAAATACTTGTTATTGATAAAATAGTAATTTTTGGTAAAACTTTAAAAAAAAAAATTATTATGTTTACTAAACCATATGAAAAGCAAAAAGGATACTCATCAAAATGAAAGGTTTATTACCAACAGATCAATGCGCATATCCTAAAAACTTAAGTATTATTTCTAAGAAAAACATTAATACCTTTTACTCTAAAATTATTACACACTGGCCAAAGTACCCAGCTTTGCTCAAATTATTAGACTAATATTTTACTGGTCTACTGTGGGTGTGTGTGTATTTTAACTTACTTTGGTTAAGAGATACAGCCAAAAATCTTTTCAGAAATTTTGTTTTCTCCAGAAACTTGTACAAGTCATCAATTTTATTGTATAATAAAATATTCTTGCTGTAAGTTAACAATTATTTCTTCACATCTTAATATTTTATCATTGCACCGAGAATTTCACATCACATTTTACATCATATATTTCTATCACATTTTTTCACAAAGTTTTCTAAATTTTTTATCCTTGCAGCTCCTCACGATAAACAATGTTGGTTGTTTTCCCATCTGGTAGAAAACCCTCCACGTACTGTCCATTCAGTAGATGAGAATTACAAAAAAATATGATACTTCTCTATAGATCCTCAGGAAGTAGAATTATAAGGCTTAAGAGTTTCAGGGCGAAAGAATTAGACAAATTTTTTTGAGTCAAATATAAAAAATAATACTTAGGTGCATATCCTCAGAATCCCCTTAGTATGCATGCAAAGTTTCAGGTCTATAGGTTCTTTCCCCTTGGAACTATAACAGTCATACAAACACACACAGGCTCTTTTATTATTATAGATTAAAAGAAATTGAGTAAAAAAAATGTTGGCAGTATAGATAAATTAAGCAACCAAGCTGCCATACATTTTACTACATCATGTAGTCCTTCTTCTAGCTCTACCTCTCTCACTACTCTTTTCTTTTGTTATTTAGTCACACAATACACAGGAAATATTTTTGTATTGCAGAAATACCTTTACTTACTAACTGTACCTTTCCAACGTAGTTTAAGTTTTCTCACAGACTTGTAAACAAACCATTACTCCAAAACCCCATTTCTAGTCTGTTCCTCTTTATAAACAATCCTAAAAATCCATAATTTTTTTGTTTACTGGCTTACTTTCCCCTCTTCATTTGTTTATCTGCTACATATTATCCAACTTCAAATATTAATGTAGACTGTTTTCTAATGTGTATGTTTATCATCAATTATACCTTATGTTTTTAACAACTAAATTTTCAAGTTTATTGGCAATGAAAATCATATAAAGATTAAATTTTTGGTCTATCAATTCCTTGACACAAGACTGATCACACTACTACTTGATAATATGATCTTTCCTTAAACTACTTAGTTCCTCTGATTAACAAGTTATAGATGACCAATGAACATTCTGTATAAGAATTACCAAACAGGACAGTAAAACATTTATACTTACTCAGATCTGTCAGTGCAACTTCACACAGGGACTTTAGGTGTGTAATCAATAACTGGTCTGCTATGACAAGAACATTACATACAAATTCTGGATCTTCACATGCTATGGGTGAAAAAATACAGTTAAGAAGCTTACAAGGATACAAATTAAATCATATAATATACTAAATAAAAGACATCAACATCTAATCTATACTAAGATCACTAGTATAAAAATATACATAAAATCAAACACAGATCTTTCTGTTACTGAAAGTAATGTTACAATATTTAGTTTTCAACAATCCAATGGCAAACACCTGTCATTTTTTTTTGTCATTACTTTAAACTAAATTATTTGATTCATTTATTTCATATTCATAAAAAATGAGCTACTTATCACAACTCCAACATATTTTTCAAATATGACAAAAAAAATTGAAAAAAAGGCAAAATCCTAGCCAAAAAATGACAGTGCTTCATCTATAAATTGTGTTTTATTGGCAAGGTCCTGAACTTAGCTTATTATTAAGAATACGGTTGGTAGTTAATTTTTAACATGACCATCTCACGAAGTCACAAGTCCATTTGAAAATTAAATTATCACTCAAAAGATACAAGTAAACAATTCTTTTTCACTAGTTATATCATTTATGAAATAACCTGTGATATATATTTTTTCATTTAATTATACAAACATCAATGATTCTTAAGATTTTCAAAGACATTTCACTGCTAGATGCACTAGGTGACAGATGCACTCAAAAGTGATATACATGCTTTCATAGGAAATAACTAAGCTTACATGATCAAACATTAAAAACACTCCTACATGTTTCAGTGCATACTGTGGGACAAGCACAACTGATTACTCCAGAATAACAATGAACAATATATTAGTATTTACAATAATTCTTACTGTCAAATGGAAAACTGTCACTCCAAAAATGAATTAGCAATATTACTTTAATGTTTGCATACATTAATAACACGATTCAAATCATTTTCTAATCTCGTCGATAATCTTAAGATGCGTTCCAGCCAAAACAATGACATGTATTTTCTAACTTTCTCCATCACACACCTTGTGTTTATAGACATCGGTGTTTATAAACATTAGTAAAAAATATAAGTGTGTATGTGTGTTATGAAACTTTAAACAATTGATGTTCTAGAATGTACATATATAAAAGCAGTGGTTATTACCATAACAACCCATACTGATCAGAAAGAATTTTGCTTGTACACCTTTAGATTAAAATCGAATAACTATTGTCTTCACACTACATATGTTTGTTTTATTTTAGATTTTGTTCAAGATAGTTTTTTCATAATCTAACTGAGAAATCTGCTGTGATCAGGAAATCAGTACAGATAAAAATGGTTAGATTTTATGAATAAGTTATATTTGTACACATGACTAAAGATGTTATGAGAGAATCAACTTAAATTTACATTTGTAGGTGTTGTTTGAATTTTCATTTCAGACCTAGAGATGTATTAAAGTTCAAAATGAGACTCGTAGTGGGGTTTTTGTTTGGTCATTAAACACAATACTGTTTAACTATTTTGAGGAACTCTACACATATTAATAGTGGGGTTTTTGTTTGGTTATTAAACACAATACTGTTTAACTATTTTGAGGAACTCTACACATATTAATAGTGGGGTTTTTGTTTGGTTATTAAACACAATACTGTTTAACTATTTTGAGGAACTTTACACATATTAATAGTGGGGTTTTTGTTTGGTTATTAAACACAATACTGTTTAATTATTTT